GCATGCACCCAGGGACCTGACAGCCCTGTTCTTTTGGCCTTTGCTTCCTGCTCTTGCAAAGGCTCCCATCCAAGCAGAGATGACAGCTTAGGACTTTCTTAGCCTTTTTCTGATTATGAACATTGCCTTGTAAGTGGAATTTTACACTGGAATGACCAGATATGTCTAAAAATGAAAATTCTTTAGAAATGAATTTTTAAAAATATTCTCTTTTCTGCTTCCTGCAGTGTCAAAATCATTCTTTTATTTTTCAAGGTTCTGTGGACCTGGAGAGTCAGGGATGGAACCAAGGAAAGTTAAACCTGTATTCTTCCCAGGCAGGACTTATCTGCTCTTTTTAAATGAGCACTCCCTGGGTTGCTGGGGTGTTATTTTGGTACATGTTCACTGTCCTGAGAGCACTGATTTGACAACTTTGTTTCTTTTTTCTTCTTTGCAGTTATGGAATGATGAAATTTCAGATGTCTTTACTTCACCATGTCCTTTAAAATCTGTCTTTAACTTCAGTTTTGTTGCTTTTGCTTATAGATAGATATTCAAGATGCAAATTTCTGGGGCATGGGACCTGAGCTTAATGCAGTTTTCTATGTTAATTCTATATTGCTTTCCATAAATGTACCAGAACATCAGCTATGTGTGTCCTGCTGTTACCATAATGTGCCATAGCTTATTAAATAATTAGTAAATAGGTAATTTATTAAATATAAAATGAACCAATTCCAAATTTTTTTTGCTACCAAAGAATATGAACAATTTCCATATATTCCCTTAATTTTTTCTACTTTCTCTCTTCTGGACCTTCTAATGATGGATCTATTATTATTATGCTTTCCAGTTTTTATTAATGAGATTTGAAACATTCATATATTATTTCTATTTGTGCCATATTGAGTTGAAATAATTGCCCAAGCCTACCTTATGAATTTCTGTCATGATTCAAAGATGGTAAAATTGTCTTTTGGGAGGTTATATATTAACAACATATTATTGTTATATTCCATTCATATACTTAATATATTTTAAGATTTCAAAGCTCTATAATCCATCAGGAATTTACTTTGATACATTAATTTACTAGTACAGTGGCTTTGAGGAGCACCTGTTAATGGCTTACTATAAGAAGAGTTAGTGTTCCTGTGTGTATATTCTAATAAATGAGTATGAGAGAGTTGGTCCTGGTGACACGAGCTTAGGGATCTAGCTACTTGGGTGGCTGATACAGGAGGATGACTTGAGCCTGGAGGTTCTAGACCAACTCGGAGAACATAATGGTATCATGTCTCAATAAATAGATGATAGACAGACAGACAGTTGTAGCAAAGTTCAGAGACATAGACACTCTAAAATTATTTTTAAAATATGTATTAGTCTAGGTGCCAATCTCCATGTTGCAATCATTATATACTATGAACATATATTAATAAAAAATTAAAATTGAAAATAAAACTCTCATAAGAGTCCAAAAATGGAAACAGTGAGGCTTTCATTGCCAGCAGGATGATGACCTGGTGCAAAGTCAGAGAATGTCGATGACCAACCAGAGAACTTTTTACCGAGTTTTTATACTTTTACAAGTAACCATGGTAACCACATTACGTCATTTTGAAATTTTGCAAAAATGTCACAGGTTTACATTTCCCAGGGGTTGGTTAGTACAGTCAAATTTTAGCTTAGCTACAGTTTGTTTTAAGTATTTGTTCCTTAGGTTAGCAATTTCTTCATCTTTGTGGGTTTTATGGTCAACTAAGAGGGAAGGGGGTGAGGAGTGAACTCACCTAAAGTTTTAGTGGCTTCGAAAATAGAGTTAAAAAGAAAATGGGGTCTCTCTTGTCAAGATGATAGATAGATAGATAGATAGATAGATAGATAGATAGATAGACAGACAGACAGATAGATATTGTGTCTCCTGCACTCAGGCAGTGGATAGAGACACCTAGTGTCTCAGGACCTCCCTGTCCTCCTAAACAAGAATTCATGCCATCCAACATCTGGACCTTCATGATAATAATTTCCATAATATTGTTTTAAATACATAAAGATTATAGTTTAGTTTTGCATGTTTGTTAACTGAAATTACATTGTGTTACTATTTGTGTGTTGCTGTCTTTGTTCAGCTCTGTTAGTTGTGACTACCCATGTTGTGCTCATGTTACTGAGTCTCATTTGCCCTCTTTCCTTTGCACAATAATACACTCATTATGGTGCTATTTCATTTTTTCTTCCTTTCTTATTTTGAAGGCCATTTGGTTTAATTGCAGTTTTGGGTTATTTTGAAAAAAATGTTTCTAGAAGCACCCTAATATCCTGATGTGCATATCCAAGTTACACCTAGTTAGTTACATATAGATATAGGTATTTGTATTGTTTTTATTAGATTATTCTAGATTATTGCCAAAGTAAGTATATCAACTTACACAGCCATAACAATTCTACTTGCTCCATGTTTTTGCTATCACTTGCATTACTAGAAGACTTGTAAATTCCTAAAAAAATCTTCATGTTATATAACCATGTCTAATTATGAA